GGCGGCGGCGGCGGCGGCGGAGGCGGAGGCGGCGGCAGCGGAGGTGGCGGCGGAGGCGGCGGCCGCATGCCCGCGCCCGGTCGGCAGCGCTCCACGTGAGCGCGGTTTGAATCGCGAGGGGCTTGGCGCCCCCGTGCCGCCGGCCAATGGCGAGCCGTCGTGCGTCGCCACTCGAGCCGCCCTCCCCTCCCCCTTCTGCCGGCCTGAGCAGAGGGTGGGGGGTGACGGTCTCCGGGGGAGGCGACGTGGCTTGCACGCAGCTGGCGTGTATTGTTTCAGGAAACGAATTTATTTTTATGACAGGCCTTGCTCATTTCCAAGGATGAGAGAGGATGTTGCTTTGCGGGACTCTACGAGACCGAGGCATCGCCGAGGGAGTAGGGATCGTTTAGTTGGCCGGGCGATCGGGTGGAATTTTAGGGAACAAGGGTGCCCGGCATAAAAAACCACCCTACAGGTGATGGGTCAATCTTTCGACCATTCCAGCTAAGCTTATTATTACCATATGTTACCTTTTGTCAGCATATAAGGCTTATTCAATTGGTTTTCTAAAAAGTGTAAACGATCGAGGAAGAATGAATGGCTCCCTAGAAGATAACACATCCTCTAATGCAGAACGCTAGATGAGATAACTCTGTTGTCAACACAAGATTTATAAACACGCTTGAAAACCTTACCGCTGCCCTTCAAAAATAATTGAAGTCCTTCTCCTGGATAATTTTTAAATTACAATAAAAATTAATGATCTTTTATCGCAATAGACTTTACAAGTTTATTACGAAAACTTCAAGTACTGCAATCAAGAGTATACTTATTTGATAAGGTGATTATTTTTAAACGGAAAAGACAATGTGACATTACAAAAAATCATATCTTAGGCGTCAAGGATGATTTATCGGTCAGAAATTAAACATCACGCGTTTAATATTGTTTCAAGATCATTTCAAGTAATTGTGAAAGACGGTTTACACACCCAGCTTAGTTACTGCGCAGCGTAGAACGTGATCGATTTAGAGGTGCCCGGTTTGAACCCGGGCGGGGACTCAGAAATAATTCCCGAATTCTACTCCTAAAACAAATCTCCTCATTATCATTCGATTATTTAAAATGATTCTCTGTAAGGAGGCCAGGAAGTAAAAGCGAATATCGCAAGCTTCCTACAAGAGATTAAAACATTATTTTTTCCTAGAATTGGAACATTTGTTTAAAACTGAAACATTTGTTTTTAATTGTACACTCGAAATATTCCAGCAATGTGTACCAAAAGCGTATGCTTTTTATTTTCACAATCAATAAAATATAGAATACATTAATTTCTATAATTGCAAGGGACATGATATATGGTCTGAGACATAGCAATAAAGTGACTGAAACGTAGTAATAACCTTTTTTTATGTGTTTTTGTAAGACGGAGGAAAACGTTTGTGTAGGTCCAGTCATTTCTCAATTGTGTATTCACTTTCTACTATTTCTATAACAATATTTTAGTTCTGCGAACAAGTTTGTATATAACGTTTGAATC